GCCTCTGCCTCTGCCTCCGGAGTGCTGGGATTAAAGGCATGCGCCACCACAGCCCAGCTTCACACATAACATTTAAAACCGTATTTGAATGTCAACTCCTCTTTCCCCTTCCAGCTTCAGATAGGAAGGAAAAAAAGATAACCAAGGGCACTGGGACTTGATTAGTTTGGGTAATTTCCAATCTGGTTTGGGATTGATTTTTAAACACAGGTTCTAAGCTGGTGTGAAACCAATGAGGTAGGGCTGGCAGGAGAGAGAAGATTACTAAATCTTCAAGGGTAGACCCCTCCAGAAACTATGCTTCCAGGATCCACTATGACTGTCCATCAGAGCCAGCCCATGAGCTATCTCTGAATAATGGCTTTGGTCCCAGGAAGGGACTACATACTCATAAGTCTCCAGTATAGGGCTTTTGACGGGACCTGGAAGTAAAGCACCAGGCTTATCCCTTTAAAAGAGGAACAGATTAAAAGCATCCAATTAGAGATGTCACCTAGGCAACGGGAAATAACTTGGGGAGCTGAGCCATCCAGAGGGGGAAGTAGAGATTCCCATGGCAGAGGCATCTGGACCAGGCAAAATAGCAGTTTGCCCATGGGGAGGGAACCCTGGCAACAGCACAGGGGGGCTAAGGCTGGGCCACTAAGTCACCGCCTAATAAGACATCCAAACCACCATACTGAGGAATGCATGGCGCTGTGTGGAATCCTGTCTCCTTGGGTGCAGGGGAACCACCACCAGGATCCTCCTCCAGGAAAGAGAAATGCCAAGCTCTCCTTGGCAGACTCTTCCGTCACCATGCTTCTTAGGCCCCCCTAAGTTGCTTATGCCGCACAGCCTTAGCCGTTCTCAGTTCCTTTCCTATGTGTGGGCTTTGGAAGGAGGTGGACTGGCTGCAGATAGGGCAAAGCTGCAGACAGGGAAGCATACACCAGGGTTTGCAGGGTCAGGGAAAGGAAGCCCCTGTTTTCCTTCCCTCTCATGACTTCCCAGAGAAATGTCTGTCCTCTGAGTATCTCAGGAACCGGTGACACACGAACATTGTTTTCCTTGTCCCACTGGTCCTCATCACACAACACCAGTCTCAGTCCCACTATGTGGTATGACATCCTATTACTGTGCCCTGTCCAGACCAAAGGATTCAGTGCCCCAGATGCCTTGGGGGCTGAGCTCTTGAAAAGCTGTGGCTCCCCAGGTCAGAGGACTTGATGGAGCATTTGGGTCATGCAGTGTGACCTCTTGTTTGAGGGAACCTCCGAGAAGCAAGAACAATGGGAACAATGACATTGTTCAGGGCCCCTTTCCTAAGAAGGACTCCATGTCCTTAGATGGCAACGCCTCCTCCACAGTCACAGGTATCTCTAGTCTGACCCATGGCTGGCAGCTCACCAAGGTTCTCAACCTCAGGGCCACACTTGTGGCCCTGTAATGTTGTGAGCTCCTATAATGGCACAGTATGATTCCCATAATCCTTTGTCTTCTGGTTGTAGCCACACAGAACACAGAGGCCAGGGGCTGAGCCTCAGGCCTTCTTAGAGTTGAGCGGGTAAATAAAGAGAAGCAGCTGTTGGTGTTGTTACTCACGAAAGCCACCTATAGTCAGCCCCTGTATCTTCCAAATGAGGCCCCAGGTCCTGGTGGGATGGTCTAAGGGCTGGGCAGTCTCAGGCCTTCAACCCTTGAGCCCTGGCCTTTGCATGCCATGCACAGGTGTGCCCATGCACAGGTGTACCCACATACAGCGGCCTTACAAACTAGTCCTTTCCTTGAGGGACCCTTCCAGGTGGGGCCACTTGAAGAAGAAAGATTTTTTTTCCTGTTGAATTCTCTAGAGATCTCCTCCGGCTTTGTTCCTCTCTGTGTCGAGGAGTTCTATGTACAGTGTGCATGTGTTTATGTGTTACATAGACGCCAGCAACCAGCCCCAAGCCCACCCCTAGAAATAGCTGGTCACCACGCCCCCCAGCAGGGTCCTCTTCCTACAGGTTCTAGAGTGAGGGCACCCAAGCCCTTATTAACAGAGGAAATGCTTCTGGGAGGGCCGAAGTCGACAGTAACACAGTCAGCCATCACAGGGCCTGTGGGCCACCCGGGTCTATTTTTTTTTTTTTTTTTGATTTTTTGGTCTTTTGAGACAAGGTTTCTCTGTGTAACTTTGGAGTCTATCCTGACACTCTCTCTGGAGAGCGGGCTGGCCTCGAACTCACAGAGATCCGCCTGCCTCTGCCTCCCGAGTGCTGGGATTAAAGGCGTGCGCCACCAACGCCGGGCTGCCTGGGTCTACCTTAATGTAATCTTTTACATTCTTAGGAAAAGAAAAAAGCACAAATCTCTATCAGTGTCCAGAAGGCCCTGCCAGCCAGCAGCTCAGGGCCCTTCAGTATCCAGAAGAGGTGCTGGGCTTGTCCGTGTGTCGCTGGGGTTGTTGGGAGACCCTGGAGGTTCCTCCTGTAGAGCGGGAAAGGGGAGGATCTGCGGAAGCCATTCCTGGCCCCACGTGGGCTCGGTAGCACAGACATGTGGCCTGGACTCTTGTGACCCTGGAGAAGCCCTGGTACCAGCAGGCACCCTGCCCGTGACGTCACTGAATGCCGAGCAAAGCCAGCCTCACTGTGAGCTGAGGAGAAGCGATGGCCTTTCTGCACCCACCTGACAGGAGACCCCTGTCCTTCCTCCCAAGGAAGCTGGCCCTGGCTTTACAACTCATTTTTTTATGCTGCGTTCTCTGGGGTGGGGTTCTAGCATGCAGGCAAGCCTGTAGCACTTGAAAACAACACATTTCTCCTTCTGAGCAGCACTTTGCTCTGAGAGAGGACTAAAGGGTATTTAAATTAACGATGAATAAAAAGCAGCCTGCCACCCTTCGAGCTGTTTGCTTTCTGTCTGGCCCTCCTCTGACTTCCTGCTCACACTGCCTCTCCAGGCCCCTCCTCTGATTTTCTGATCACACTGCCTCTCCAGGCCCTTCAGACCTGTGACTGCTGTAGAGAGTTACTCTACAAATCT